GTGTATACATTTGTAGAGGCCATCATCGATAGGCCCTTCCGTGGCCATCGGTCTGAATCCATCGCACTCACTCTTGCGAAGTATCGGATTTTGCTCTGCGCCTCTCTGCTCTCGAATGTGGACCACCCAAGCTCGCCGAGCACAAACTCTGTCGCGACCTTATGTGCCGTGATCCCCATAGCCCATTCCCTGGCGGCCACCTGAGTTCTATCAAAGATGGCCGTAATTTGTCTCGATGCCCGCGATGCCAACACTGCGTTCGCGTATGTTAGCTTCGGTACACCTGTCGCCATCCATTGGATCCGTGTGATCTCGAATCTGTTGAATGTCCATATGCTTTGAGCGTGTAAGCTCTGAAGTGCCTTGTGTGCCTCCCTCTTCCAGATTTGTTCTTGGCGAAGGAGATAGTTGCGACCCGAGAGCAGGAAGGGTACAAAGAGAAGGTCACCTCCAGGTTGATCGCCGGCCGTGTACAAGATCATGGGCGGCCGGCCTTGCCGTTTCCCGGAGCGAGTTTCCCGTTCCACGCGCAAGGCAGGATGCAGCTTCTGGACTGCTCGCCGAACCTCGCGTGGTACTTGCAAACTCCCGGCGTTTTGGAAGCTGGCACCACGTTCAGCCGTTTCTTACTCAGGACGGGGCGTTCGACTGCATCTACCTCCACTGCCACATCTTCCACGGCGCTCTTTGCGAGACCCAGCCGCTGGGCGAAAATTCTGTCAGCGATCTTTGCCACTTCCCGGAGGTCCAGTGTGTTGACCGCGGCGACCTGATCGCGGACATGGGCTGGCAATTTCTGAAGGAGATGAGATCGGAACAGCGGATTCATGGAAGCGTTGGCGTCCGGTCTATAGAGCCCCAACATCCTCTCTAGGAGTCTCGAGGGATTGTCGTCGCCGATGGTGAGGCTGGCAATATTAGCCATGCGCCGATGCCGATTGATCCTGAAGGAGTCGAGAACTCTCGCCTTGAAGGCCTCATATCGATTCCCAGATTCGGGGAGATCGTCGAAGAAATCCGCTATTCTCTCCTCCGTATCTGCGTCGAGACCCGTCAACACGTAGTCAAACCTTGTCTGATCCTGAACGATGCCGCGTGTGCTGAACTGCGCCTCCACCGTCGCAAACCACATCGAGGCCTACTTAGGCCACAACGGGGGCAGTTTCAAGGACACCGCGGAGAAGCGCGGCGCGCTCCCGCTCGCTCCCGCCGAGAGCTCTTCGAGTGTGTCTTCGAAGGAATCTGAATTCATCTTCAGATCACGTCTGGGTCACCAATGTAGCGGTCACGCGAACTTGGTAAAGAGGGAGCGACGCCTAGCCGTGAGATATCTCGTGGCCGTGGCCGACTAGATTATTTCAACTTCGTCGTCTAGGCGGTAATGAATCGTCCCAATCGGTGGGGCCGGGCGGTCCACTACAGTGGGTATAAGCCAAGACGTGCCCACCTTCAGTCAGACCAAGGATTCTGAAGTAGTTTTCGACAAAACGATACACGAGATCGTCACTCTCAATGATTGCTGGAATAGAGTCCCCCGCTCGCTTGACCACTTGAGGCCTATGTTCGAGTTCCCTGATGCGGTTGTCGAGCTGGCAGTCCCCGATATTGTTCGAAAAATGCTCGATCGGTCTGTACAGAATTTTTTTTTCTGTCGGAGCGACCGGCCAAGTAGTTAGCTTCGACGAGAAAGTCGTGCTCTATGAGTCGTGTCCTAGTGGTCGATGTTACAAACGTCTCGAAGAGCGAGCAGACAATGCTTTCCATCGTCATCGTTGCGCAATGGACGTCAATGATTTTCGATGGGGGGCTTCGGGATTTGTTGAGATCGAAGACGCTGACGGAAAACGGCTCGAGTGCTCCGTGTTCGGTGACGTAATGTCTGTCATGTTGTTGGAGTCAATCGGGGAAATCCGCGAACTCGTTGAAGGAAACCCGTCTCGTTTCAAAGATTCAATTAGATAGTTGACTTCGCGATCGTATTCGATTACTGTTGGAGCTAGGAAGGAAATTTTCGTAGATTCTCGGCGACCTAGCTATCGCGTGGTACGCGTTCCGGTGGTCGTGTCTGGAACTGCGCAATCTTGAAAAATTCAATTGATTCTTATCGAAACTTTTAACAAGCGGGGCCCCAATTTAAATGGTGAATATAAATTGTTGTATGATTTCTGTCTCAATCGTATACTCATCTTCGTCGGACCATAACGCTCTTGAAGGATCAGGTCTTGCCCCATCGTGAATCTTGAGCTTTCCATGAACGATATTCACTCGGTCGTACCGAAAGCCCACTGGAGATACCAGACTGGGTGCTTCTGTTAGGAATCCGTGGGGATCCTGAGCGTTGGCTCACTGAGAAGGTGCTCAATCTGTAGGAGTCCACGGTCCAAGAGTCTAGAGTTCGTAGTAGCCAGCGGCCTTGCCTGCGACCAGCATCGACCCATCGTAGATCGAGGCTGGCCGCAATCCGCGGAAGCGCATCCGAGCTTTTGGTGAAACCTCAACTGTTCTAAATAAACCACTCGTGGTACAGGACTTGTAGATGGCAGACGGGTCTCCCTTACACACTGGGGAAAGTGACGGCGCAGCAGTGTGGGGGCGATATCACATGGTGTCAGAGAGAATCCGAGTGCCCACAACCCTCGCCATGGGTCTCCAGCATAGCGACGATGAATCGGAGTCACGACCCTCGGGGTCGAGCCAGACCGCGCCGGCGGCGGCGATCCCGCCACTAACTGAGCAACGGCAGACTCCAACGCAGATAGTGCCGGCACTCAACAGCCCGATGATGCAAGGCGGATACGTCCTGGCGGCACCGCCGCGAGCATTTGACGCCACGGCGGACGATCTGGTAGAGGAATGGCGCAGTTTCAAAACCCGTTTTGACATACACGAGACCATAAGTGAGCTCCAAACCAGACCGGAAGCATATCAACGTGCGATGTGCCTCGGAGAGGCAGCGCGAACGTGGATGGACATGGTTCAGATAGACTACCGAGAGGCATCAGCGAAAGAGATCATAGAAAGGATCGAGGAAAAATGCACGGCAACGATAACGCAGACCCTTCGAGACTACAAGTTCTTCTGTCGGGATCTCGACCGAAGGAATGCAGAACCCTTCGATGCGTACTACGAGAGAATCCGCTCGAAGAGCCGAGTCTGCAAATTCGGTGGAGGTTCGGATAGACTGGTCAAGCCCAGAATTATCATCGGCATGAGCGACAGAAACCTCCAGAAGACGCTGCTGGCTAAAGACCTCTCTCTGTCCGAGGTGGTAGCCAGATGTCGAAGCGCCGAACTCGGCGCGCAGAACGCGCTAGAAATAAATCGCGCGTCGCGCGCAGCGACAGAGATCATCGCCGCTATCCAGCAGCAAGAAGAGGGTGACATGTACAAACAAAATGCGGACAACCCTAAACCACAACATAGCCACCATAAGACAGCTGTGCAGCAGATGCGGATACACTCATCAGAACAGCGTGTGCTTCGCAAGAAACAAGAAACGCAACCGGTGCAACAAGACGGGGCACTATGCCAAGCTCTGCAGATCGGCAATCAGTCTGGGCAAGCAACAGTTCGAGACCTCCGAGCGACGACGACCCCAGCGTCAAGGGGATCGACGGCCAAACACGCAAAGCGTAGCAAACAACGTGAAAGTGTGGGGGCTCCAACACGACTCGGACGAGGAGGACTTCATGGTATCACAAATAAGCCACATCAGTGCTCCAGCCGACGAAAAGAGGAGGTGGGACCAGGAGGTCTGCATTCATAGTCTACCGGTGAAGTGCGAACTGGACACCGGGGCAGACGTCTCGGTGCTACCGAAGGCATTCCTCGCTCACCTGCGGAGGTGTACCCCACTGCCGTTCACTGTGAGGGCGTACAACGGACGTCTCCTCTCGTATTTCGGCGATCGGCACACCGCGGAAGCGGCAGTAATGCTGATCGTGAGTCGCGGCGACTCCTCAATCCAGGAAAGGTTCCTGGTGGTCGATGGCTCGTTGACGCCGACGCTGAGAGGAAACGCGGCGGAGGCACTGGGCCTGGTTGTCAGAGTGGCGACCGTCATGGGCGGGTCCGAGGGCGAGCTCGAGCCCTGGATTAGAAGCCATCCCGCTGCGTTCACCAAAGTAGGCTCGATCAGCGGCTACAAATGCTCGATTCTCCTGAGGCCCGGTTATCGACCATTCATCAACGCCTGCCGGCGCATACCCCTGGCAAACGAGAAAGAGGTCAGAGCGGAACTGGACCGCATGATCATGAAAAAAGTGATAGTTCCCGTGACAACACCAACCGAGTTCGTCAGCAATATTGTCAGTACACGGAAAGCAAACGGAAAAATGCGGGTCTGCCTCGACCCGACGCACTTGAACATGGAGATCGGGAGGGGCCCGCACCCCACGAAGCGGCTCGAACAGATCGCATCGAAACTCAACGGGGCCCAATTCTTCTCCACGTTGGATGCGGACGAAGGCTTCTGGCAGGTGCCTCTTGACGAAACTAGCTCACGGTATTGTACGTTCATCACCCCGTGGGGAAGATTCAGGTTTGTGAAAATGCCCTACGGCATCATCAACGCATCCGACGAGTTCCAAAGACTCACAGACAACCTGTTCTCGGATCTCGGTGGAGTCTGCGTGGTGGTGGACGACATTATGGTCAGGGGGAACTCGCGACTGGAGCACGATGACAGGCTCCGTGGGGTTCTCGATCACTGTGTCAGCGCCGGAATGGTACTAAACAAGGCGAAATGCAAGATCGGGAAGACGGCAGTAAAATACCTGGGCGTCGTCCTCGACCGGGAGGGCGTCAGAATCGACCAGAGCAGGATCGATGACATCCGCGCCATAGAAGCTCCCAAGAACCTGAAACAACTGCAAGCGTTCCTAAGAATGACTAATTTCGTTTCCGCGTTCATCGACTCCTATTCAACCATCACAGCGCCAATGAGAGAATTGCTAAAAAAGGGTACCGCTTTCTTCTGGCAAGAACCCGAAGAGCGCGCCTTCAGTGGTTTGAAGCGCGCACTGGCATCCGCGCCAGTTCTAAAATACTTCGATCCGGACCTCCCAATAAGGCTGTCGGTGGACGCCTCACAGTACGGCGTAGGAGCCGTTCTCCTCCAGCAGGACGAAAAGGGGACCCATCCGATTGGGTACGCGAGCCGCACCCTAACGAGCACGCAAAGGAACTACGCTCAGATCGAGAAGGAGATGCTTGCGATCGTGTTCGGATGCACGAAGTTCCATTACTACACGTTCGGCCAACGTAGCCTATAAGAGTGGAGAGCGACCACAGGCCGCTTGAGATGATTATGAAGAAACCGCTGCACCAAGTTCCTCTCAGGCTCCAGATAATGAGGCTGATCTTACAAAGGTACGACATTGACGTCCGCTACGTCCCGGGCAGGTCTCTGTATGTCGCCGACTTCTTGTCAAGAAGCCCCTCCCTCGACACGCTGGAGGAACTCCCAAAAGTCGCGAGCCTCGAACACCTACCGATCGCCGACAACAGGCTCCGGGAATACATTGCTGCGCACGCCAAGGATCCACAAATGCAAGCCTTAGCGAAGGCAGCACGGGAAGGCTGGCCTGAGAACAAAGAGCTTGTTCCGCAGATTATAAAGGGGTATTGGCCATACCGAGACGAAATTCATGTCGAGCATCAGCTGGTAATGCGATCAAATCGAGTTGTGATCCCGCTCGCGCTACGCTCAGGGGTCCTATCACAACTCCACCACTCCCACGTCGGGATTGAAAAGATGAAGCTTCGTGCGAGGGAGACTGTATACTGGCCAGCGATGCACGCTGACATCGAAAGCACGGCAGCACGCTGCAACCAATGCCAGCATGACAAACCAGCTAACCCTCGGGAGCCCATGCAGCTCACCCCCACCCCGCCACGACCGTGGCACTCAGTGTATATGGACTTATTCGAACTCGACGGTCAGCACTTCCTGATAATGGTGGACGCGTATAGTTTCTACTGGGAGATTGCCCATCTACGCACGTTTACCATGGAAGACGTGGCCCGCGCGCTTTTCGAGACGTTCGCCCACTTCGGTCTGCCAGTTGAACTCCGGTCAGACAACGGACCTCCGTTCACAGGAGCATGGCTCAGAGAACTACTGCACCGCCA